CCCAAAAACCCTCCCAAAACCGCCCGAAAAGTCGATGTCAGATTGGGTGCACAAGTATGCACAACGGCATGCACGCGTGCGTGCGGCGTGCGCGGGAAGAACAAAATGGCGATTTTTTTCTCTGCCCACGATAGTCGAAAAAAAAAAAAACAGTGGCGGTAGAATAAAACAGAGAACCCTGCCATATTTTTCTAGCCCAGCCCCCGTGTGGGTCACACCCTGTGCTGCAGCCTAATGCTCCACGATCGAAAGTGTCACACCGGGATACACGAAGCGCAAGTTTTCACAACGAAGACCAGAGAGCGCACGTGCACGGCTCGGGGCATACCCAGACTGCAACCGAGAAATCGATCCCCCGTTTAACATGAACATCTTTGAACGAAAAAAAAAACAGCCAAGTAACGATCTTCGCCATCTTTGCCGTTGTCTTGGAACACTCTGCCCCCCCCTCCCCTTTTACCCACTCCCGCCCAACGCGTTGCAACCAGCACAAAATGTTGTCCCTGTTGTGCTTCCTCTATCGCCAGATGTACAGATGCACCCGTACAAGAGACAGCTGCCGAAAGACGAAACGTTGAGACTGGAGGGCTAACAGGCAAGAGCAGAGAAGAGACCCCCCCCCCTACCATACTCAGACCTCGGACCCCCCTACTACCCCCCGACCCCGGAAAAACGGTATAGGCAAAACTTCTACGAGGGTAAAGACACGAGCAACAAGCCATAGGGAAAAGTAAAATCGAGTCAAGTCAGGAGAAATATCACAGAGAAGGAATACAAAGGAGAATTTAATGGACGACAAGGAGCAGACACAGGGTATACGATCAACGGAGAGGGGAGGTCAACAACGCTACACGAGACTCGACAGACATGAAAAGGAGACACGTTCCTTGCACTAGATAGGGCAGGTTCATTCCCCGGGGAATGACATGGCGAAGCTACAGCTCCCCACCACACTTCCTGACACTTCAACAGCAGACAGCAAACAACCTATCAGCCCGCCAAGGGCTGAAAACTTAAGGCTGACCTGATCGTGGCCTTCCTTCCCTATTGCCCCCTCCCTCTCCACAACAAACGACATCTCGGAGACGGACAAGGCAAGAACGAAATCGTTCCTGCCCCTCCAGTGGCAACTTCCACCTCCAAAAGCAGCCGAGGCTAAATAAATACTACTTCTACCGCCCAAAAACTCAACAAGGTATACCGAACACTTACACCGCAAGAACACCCAGGACGACAAAACGAACACAGACTAGGGTCGAAATACACGCCAACTTCCTCCCACCTTGTCTACAAGAAAACAACCCATACCCAAAACAAAATAAGCAGGAAAAATAAAACAAAATAACAGCAAGTCTTTGCTGTCCGCATCTACTTGGACGACGCACACCCACACGACCCCAACCGAAGAGTGCTCCCCCCTCCACCTCGCCCGCAGCCTTTCACGGGGCAGGAAACACACACTCATCAAAATCCGACGAACACGCCGCCGTAGTTGTCGTTGATCTCGTCAGACTGGCAGACGACCGGCTGGCCGCGGACCCAGACATCGCCGCCCTCGATGGCCGCCGCAACGACTGCCTCTTCCTCTTCCCGATCCGCCTGGGCCCGCACCGCCGCCCGGAGGCCGTCGAAGTCGACGCCGGCGAAAAACGGGTGGCGCTTAACCTCGGGGAGGCTGGGCCGGCGGCTTGGGTCGAGGCAGAGGAGAGCCTTGACGAGGGACTGGGCGGCGGGGTCCTGCGCCCCGCCACCACAGTGACTGTTATTGCTGTCGGCCATGCCCTGCTTCTGCCGTTGCGCCTGTTTACTCTTCGCCGGTTCCGCTTGTTGTCGCGTGTGATCGGCCCCATTGGGGCCTACCGCCATCGCCAGGCCACCCTTCTTGCTCGCCGTCGCCGACAGAGAAGAGTCTGACTTCTTCAACGAAAACGCCTGCTTCTGCACCCCGCCCTTGTGGACGTTCGACAACGACGAACCAGACTTGCCCACCACCTTCGATGACAAACACTTCAAGGAGGAGGAACCTTCTGCGGCAGCGCAGGCCGGACTCGCGGGGGGCTTCGGGAAGGCGTAGTCGCCGGTCGCGATGCGCTCGTACATCTCCTCGACGCTCGGCGACTTGAACGGCGTCTGCCCCACAAGGAGCTCGTAGATGAGCACGCCCAGGGCCCACAGGTCGACGGGCATGCCGTGGCCGCAGCCGCTCAGCACCTGCCAGATCGTACGTTGGTTGATCATGAGACGGCGGAAAGGTAGAGCACCTCTTAGGACTTGGTAACAGACAACGAACCCAATGGAACGTTTCTCAGCGCCTTCTACAGTACACCCTTCCACCACCAAGGACGCGCTTTGTTTTATCCACCGTCACCACTACATGCAAGCTGTTACTACGTCCAATTATGTTGATCTTGATCGAGCGAATGTCCCAAATTGACGGCAGACATTTAAGCCAGATTTTCATGGAAAAACCCACGCACCTCTGCCGCAACGTATTCCGGGGTCCCGAACTGCGAGTACAGCCGCTCGTCTGGTGCGAGCTCGCGCGCAAAGCCGAAGTCAGTGAGCTTGAGCGTGCCGGACTTGCCCATGAGAAAGTTCTCTGTTAAGAGTGCGGGGGGGGGGGGTAAGGGGG